AGTTGTGGCGTGGATTGTTATGCCCCACATGCAAGGTCTAGCATTTATTGATATTGAAAAGCATTTACCAGTCTTCTGACCACTTGTGGAGTTCATATAGATCTCTTTTAAAAGCCTCAATATCATTTTCACTTCCCACTTTACAATAAATCTTAAGTGTCATCTGCAGGTCTGATGATATGGTTTGTAATATTCTCATCTGTCATTTATGTACTATATATGACAAAATGGGTTGACCCCAAAATGGACCCGTGAACCCGTGTTGAAACCCACTCGCCACATATCTCAAGTCAGATTCCTTCCCATTTAGCATGACTCTTTGTTTTAACCATTGCTTTATCCAATCTAGTATTCTACTAATTTACTCCATATGTCTGTAGTTTCCTTGATAGTCTTTCATGTGGTACCTTGTCAAAAGTTTGAGCAAAGTTTGTGTAAACTACATCAACCAGAAGTCCTTTGAATAGCTGGTTACCATTTCTATAAATGCAAGCAGGTTTATAACCTGGTTGATGGGGTTCTGGGAGTTCTTCTACTGCCCAAGCCCGGCCCGAGGCCAGGCTTGACTTGTGAGAGTTTGGTCCACCAGGCTGTTATGGAGCGGCCCACATACCCACCACAGCCACCCATGTTTTGTTGATTTTACAAGATTGATCGAGATGGTGAAGGATTCCCTCCCTTAGGATTTTCTCCATGAGCTTGCAGATGTGTGATGCCAAGCTGATCAGGTGGTAGTTTTTTGTGGAGCTCTTTCTGCCTTTTTCTTTAAATTGGGGTATCATTTATTTATTTCCAATCTAGAGGAACTATCCATTGGTCCACAGATTTTATGAAAAGGAGTGTCAGTGGTAAGCACAGTGCATCTGCCAGTTCCACTACAACTTTGAATTGAATTCCATCCACACCTGGGAATTTTTACTACTAATTTGCCAATGTTCTTCTTGATTGTGTTGCATGTTATGGGTGCGACATTATACTAATAGCATTATGTGGAGTCATTATAATTATACTGCATGTATAACGACAACAATGCCCATTATGATGCACAATACTGTACTGTACATGGAAAAAACAGTTCAGACTGTAGTAATTGTTACATTTCTAACCATGTTCATAGATACCATGAGTTTTATCACTATCTCGAAGAGGCAGTGATAAAACTAGGAGGCAACTATGCTATATATTGTGCACATGAAATGCTTGTTTAATTTTCAGGGTTCATGCACTATTAGGTTAGGGTGTTGTTTAGTACAGTGTATGCAAATTATTTTCTGCCGCCATCTCTCTCTCTCAATACTGAAAATTACTTTCTATATAAAAAATAACAGCATTCAACAAAGAATGTAGCCCTAGGATTTTTACTGCAATAGCAAGAATCTTTAATGAACTATATGCTTCACACATTACCAAATGTACAGTATATAATGTGCAGTAAAGAAATGCAAAGTGCCGGTAGCGCAGGCACTCAGTATAGTGTGGAGGAAGAGCTTGGACACTGGGGAGATACCAGACGCGCTTAAAGCAGCAAACAGCTCCTCTACATAAGGGAGGGAGCAGAGCATCGGCAAAGACCAGTTGCACTAACGTCCCACACAATAAAAGTATTTGAGTGTGATCAGGAGTCAGGTCACTAGTTTCATGGAAATCAATGACCTCCACAATTCAGGCCAACATGGATTTAGAGTGGGAAGATCATGCCTCTCACAGCTACTTGACCACTATGACAAAATCACTTACTAGAAGAGGCATTAGAGGCATGAGCATTGGAAGAAAAACAGAATGCAGATGTGGTATACCCAGTACATGGACTTCCCAAAGGCAGTCGATAAATGTGATCATGGAGTGATAGCACACAAAATGAGGTCAATGGGAACAACTGGTAAAGTAGGACGCTGGATACTCAGTTTTCTGTCGAACAGAACACAAAGAGTAACAGTCAACCATATAAAATCAAGTCCAAGCGCAGTTAAAAGCTCTGTACCTCATGGTACAGTCCTTGAACCACTGCTGTTCCTTATTCTCATATCAGATATACACTCAAATACATGTCACAGCTTTGTATCATCCTTTGCAGATGACACAAAAATCAGCATGAAAATTACCTCTGCTGAAGACATTGAAAAACTACAAGCAGATATTAATAAAGTTTTCGACTGGGCAACAGAAAGTAACATGATGTTTAACAGCAATAAATTCCAGGTACTCAGGTATGGTAAAAATGAGAACCTTAAACATAATACAGGGTATAAAACACAATCATTATATATGATTGTGCTGACCAACCACAGCCCGGTTGGTCAGGCACTCCTTGGAGAAAACTATCTAGTTTTCTCTTGAAGATGTCCACTATTGTTCCGGCAATATTTCTTATACTCGCTGGGAGGATGTTAAAAACCGTGGACCTCTGATGTTTATACAGTGTTCTCTTATTTAGCCTATGGCACCCTTGCTTTTCACTGGTTCTATTCTGCATTTTCTTCCATATTGTTCACTCCAGTATGTTGTTATTTTACTGTGCAGATTTGGGACCTGGCCCTCCAGTATTTTCCACATATATATTATTTGATATCTCTCGTCTCCTTTCTAGTGAGTACATTTGGAGAGCTTCAAGACGATCCCAATAATTTAGAGCTTTAACACGTCTACTTTTACCGTATACAGTCTCTGTACTCCCTCTATTTCAGCAATCTCTCCTGCTCTGAATGGGGGAATGAGTATTGAGCAGTACTCAAGATGGGACACCACAAGTAATTTGAAGAGAACAACCATTGTGATGGGATCCCTGGATTTGAAAGTTCTCATAATCCATCCTATCATTATTATGGCTGCTGCAATATTTGCCTGGTTATGCTCCCTAAATGTTAGGTCGTCAGACATCATTATTCCCAAATCCTTTACATGTTGCTTTCCTACTATGGGCAAATTTGACTGTTTTGCACCCTCTATTATGTTTAAGGCTTTGATTTTTACCGTATCTGAGTACCTGAAATTTATCGCTGTTAAACATGTTATTTTCTGCTGCCCAGTCGAAAACTTTATAAATATCTGCTTGTAGGTTTTCAATGTCTTCAGCAGAGGTAATTTTCATGCTGATTTTTGTGTCATCTGCAAAAGATGATACAAAGCTGCGCCTCGTATTCAAGTCTACAGTATATTTGATATGAGAATAAGGAAAAGCAGTGATGCAAGGACTGTACCTTGAGGTACAGAGCTTGTAACTGCGCTTAAACTCGATGTTATATGGATGACCGTTAATCTGTTCTGTTCGACAGAAAACCGAGTATCCAGCATCCTACTCTACCAGTTATTCCCATTGACCTCATTTTGTGTGCTATCATTCCATGGTTACATTTATTGAATGCCTTTGCAAAATTCGTGTATAACACATCTGCATTCTGTTTTTCTTCTAATGCCTCAGTGATTTTGTCGTAATGGTCAAGTACAGTAGCTGTGAGTGGCGGTTATTCAACGGTTATGTAGACTGGCATTTTCCAAAATTTTAAATTTTATACAATACATGTTGCATTTGGGCAACCAATTTCTACTTTAACATTCAGCTTGCTTAGGTCTAAATATGAATATGCAAAGTGTCTAATGCAACATTTCTCAACCTTTATACTATATCCCTGTGGAACCCTTTAAATAATTCTGGGACATACTGTAATTAAAAAAAAATACAGATATAATATTGACACAATCGACTTGAGAAAGGTCTAGGACTGACCGAAACGTCATCGTCCCTTCACTTTCTAGTGTGTGGTTTGGTCAACAACAAAAAAATACAGATTTCATTGTCAATTGAAAGGAGAAAATTCCTTTCTTTGCTCTCGATACTGGTTAAATTAAACAAAAATACATCTACATATGATTAGAATTACCCTAGTTATCTCTCTTGCAGAACCACCAAGTACCTTGCGGTTCTGTGGAACCCTCATTGTGATATGCTGGTCTAATAGTCTCCCCGCTGCTTGGACTGGTCAACACAGTGATAGTCTCACGTCTTCCTGGTCAGCATTTGATCCCCCGATGGTCCTAGTGTTTGGGAAGTGTTCCTTTGCTCCTTCCCCCCCTAGCCTGTCCTTGTATCCCTTGTTTGTGTTATATTGTTATACTGGCTTACCACTTCTCCTAATTTGGTTCCTGTATAAGGTATTTTGTATTTCTTAGAACACAGCCAATTTTATAAGCAATTGTTGACAATGAAGAATGTCGCGCTTGATACGTGCTTTGCTTACGAACAAATCGGTGCGGTCCATTTTTAGCCTTTAACATACTGTATATTTTTTACATGCCACTATGCTAACATTGATAAGTGTCAATAGTTTAAATCTTTTGGGTAATAAGTGAGCTAAAATAAATGCACATTAAACGAATAAACACAAAATGAATAACACTATACTGTATAAAAATTCCAGCCAATCCTTGCTAGTGAGAGTGGAAGGACTGTTGTGAGGACAGTCTACAGTTACTCTCACACAGCTCCCCCCCCCCTCCACACATCTGTGCACCTCACACCTCAAGACATAAATGAAATGAAATTTAAATTTTGCCCCGAGGGGCGAGTTTATTGGGCAGCGCCACTCATCTTGAGTGGACACACCGCCATAGCAGCATGTACAACACTCCCCAATAGGAAGAAAACCCGCTGGGTTGTTCATACTTGTACCCAGACACAGCTGGGACTTGTGAAGTAAAACATCTCTACCGCTTGACTTAATTATTTGGCAAATATTAAGGAGGACAAGAGAGCACACATGGTAGTGGGCCGGGAGGGAACACTGACAATCACGGTGGACATCAAAACACTACTTGGCCTCTGTTATTGGCTCTGGTTCAAAAGCTATTAAATGTCAACCACCGAATGGGGAATCCTGGCGCCGAGTGACTAGGGGGGCCGTCCCTCACCACCACCAGTCACTCCAGGCCCCTAGAGTGACTGTGAGGAGTGACTGTGAGGGGCCAGGGAGCACCCGGCCGCCAGGGGCGCCGCCAACACCCACCTTCTGCCGCTGCCTTCAAGTTGTCTACATCGTTGCTCTGGACATCGGTATCGGCCATTTTGACTCATTAGTGTAGAAAAGGGCGATGGTAATCACTGTAGTCAAGCACTACAACACTCGAAACACCTTTAGCTTTACATAATATAGTATCACAGTCAATAGAGCCAAGATAAATCACCGAGGAGGCCCAGTGCCACAGCCTGCACACAACTACCACCGCAGACGGAAGTTGACTGAGGCTCGGCCCAGGCGGCGGGGCGCAGGCGCTCCCCCGGCCCCAGATGGCAGCACCAGCCGCCCACCACACTACTCCTCCCTCACACTCCTTATACACTCTCCTTATACACTCCTCACACCCTTCCTCATACTCCTAACACCTTCCACTACACCCCTTACACTCTTCACACCCTTCCTCACAATCCCAACACCTTCCCCCACAGTCCTCACACCCTTCCTCACAGTTCTTATACTTCTCACCACACCCTTTCCTCACAATCCTTATACTTCTCACACCCTTTCCTCACAATCCTTATACTTCTCACACCCTTTCCTCACAATCCTTATACTTCTCATCATACACCCTTCCTCACGGTCCTTACAATCCTCACACCCTACCTCATAATCCTTATACTTCTCACACTCTTTCCTCACAATCCTTGTACTCCTCATCCTTCCTCACGGTCCTTACACGCCTCACACCTTCCCCCAGTCCTCACATCCTTCCTCACAGTTCTTACACTCCTTACATCCTTCTTCACAGTCCTTACACTCTTCCTCACTGTCCTTACACTCTTCCTCGCAATCCTTACACCCTTCCTCACAGCAGTTCTTACATTCCTCACACCTTCCCCCACAGTCCTCACACCCTTCTTCACAATCCTTATAATTCTTACACCCTTCCTCACATTCCTTACACGCCTCACACCCTTCCTCACAGGCATTACACTTCCCACGATCTTCATCACATTCCTCACACCCTTACCTTGCGATGATTTCGGGGAGGCATGGAGGCCTGGTCGAAGCTGAGTTGGACTGGTCAACCAGGCTCTTATTGGACGCGGTTTGTTGTTTTAGATTCAGCAACTTGGAACAAAAAGTTCCAAGCAGCACGGGCTATGGTGAGCCGCGTAGTGGACTTTGGACACAGCTGCTTGCAGCCTGACGTATGAGTCACAGCCTGATTGATCAGGTATCCTTTGGAGGTGTTTGTCAAGTTCTCTATAAAACACTGTGAGGGGTAGGCCAGTTATGCCCCTTATGTGTAGTGGAAGCGTGTTGAACAGTCTCGGGCCTCTGATGTTGATAGAGTTCTCTCTCAGAGCACCTATTACACTTCTGCTCTCAACGCCCTTCCTCACACTCCTCACATCCTCCCTCACACTACTCATATTATATATACCCGGCCACGCGTTACTGTGGCTCAGCAATGCATGTGGGTTGCTGAGCCACAGCAACCTTCCCTGTCCCCCAGTCCTCCCCACCATTCCACCCTCACCCGTCTCCTCGGCTTCCCAACCATGCTCCACTCCCCTGTCCCTTTATCCTCCATTCCCCCATCCCTTCGTCCCTACCATCTCAAACTTCCTCGTCCCCTCGTCCTCCCCACCGTCTCTCACTTCCGTCCCTTCGTCCTCCCCACCATTCCCCACTCCCTCGTCGATGCCTTCCCAAATGGTATGATGTTCCCATCAGAAAACTGGGATCATCAAGTGATCTGATGTTCCCATCACTGAAATATAAGAAAAACAGTTAAAAAAATGAAATGAAAATATGAAAAAATAAAAAATGAACTATACTCACGAAATGAACCGTTTGGTAAACAACACAGCTCAATTCCAACGCAATTCACACAAAATAATTAAATGAAAATGAAAATAAATAAAAATCTATGAAAAATCAATTTATCAATGCAATCAGAAACATTGAAATGGAATTGTAACAAATTTAGTATAGCATGTGTGTTGCTCTTACATGCAACAGATGGCGCTGTTTTTCAAGAAAAGCATAGATTTACCTGTCACAGGTGTGGCATCTATATCTATACTTACGAAATGAATGGTATGGTAAAAAATTCCCAGCTCAAATCCAACACAATATCACAGAAAATAATTCAATAAAAAATAAAATAAATCGAAATCTATGAAAATAAAATTTATCAATACAATCGAAAACATTGAAATGGAATTTGTGACATATTTAGTATAAGGTGCATGTTGCTATTATGTGCAACAGATGGCGCTGTTTTTCAAAAGTCATGTTTTTACCTGTCACAGGGGTGGCATATGTATAGTAAGCATATAATAAGACGCGCCTATTCGAATGCAACGTTGTGTCAAAATTTCAAAGCAATCGGTGAAGAACTTTCGGAGATTACAGCGTGCGGAGATTACGTCCAACAGATGGCGCTGTTTTTCAAACAAAGCATGTTTTTTTTCCTGTCACAGGTGAGGCATGTATATGATAGATATATGAGAAGATGCGCTTATCCAATGCAACTTTGTGTCAAAATTTCAAAGCAATCGGTAAAGAGGTTTCGAAGATTTCCCTCACATGAAAAACACAGTTTTTCAGAAAAAAAAGTTTTTTTCCATCACAGACGTGACATCTGTATAGTATGTATATATAAACCCGCTCGGATGCGAATGGAATATTGTGTGAAAATTTCAAAGCAATCGATGAAAAACTTTTGGAGATTAGCGATTTTGAACAAACTAACATTTCTATTTATATATATATATATATATATATATATATATATATATATATATATATATATATATATATATATATATATATATATATATATATATATATAAATGTTAGTTTGTTCAAAATCGCTAATCTCCAAAAGTTCAAAAGGTACCTAATTTCATCCTCATAGTTTCCTACCCGATGCTTTAAACTCGCAATGTATCTTGTGTCCACTTCCCCAATATTAGTACTTAAGACATATATCCTTACCAGTGTAATCACCTTTGTCAACTTGCATGGTAGTTATTTGTTAACTTATTTATAGTTATTTTATTGTAGTTATTTGTATAGCTAAGTGATTGTAACCTATCCACCGCTGCCCACTGGATGGGGGGCGGTGTGCAGGACAAACATATAAATTGTGACACTAGCTCTCCACATATGACAGTTGCTTAATTTAGAAACTGTACTTGTGGTCGATCTCGAACACATTGATGATGTGACGACTTGTACTGAATTTTGTAATTAGCTCATCAAGATTGTAACTTGCTTAGCTAAACGAATTGTGGGGTTCAGTCCCTGAGCCCATTATGTGCCTCTGTAACCCTTTCCACTACTGCCCACAAGATGGGTATGGGGTGCATAATAAATGAACTAAACTATAACTAAAACTGGCGGGTCGTATTCCGATGAACAGAGGATTAAGGACTAGAGACTGTACAAGAATGTAAGAACTATTATTTATATAAATAAGTAAATAAATAAATAAAGTATTTTTATTATTTTATTGGCTGATCCATATATAGGCTCGCGGCTCCTACAAGTAAGATACAATAACTATATTTACATAATAGGCTTAAATTAGCTTTTCATAATAAGGACTACGTTAATTTTTGGCTAAGTGTTTAAAAATAAAAATAAGGTTTGAGTTTTAGTTTAGTTCATTTATTATGCACCCCATACCCATCTTGTGGGCGGTAGTGGAAAGGGTTCCAGAAGCACATAATGGGCTCAGGGACTGAACCCCACAATTCATTTAGCTAAGCAAATTACAGTCTTGATGAGCTAGTTACAAAATTCAGTAAAAGTCGTCACAGATTGAAATTGAAATAAGTTTATTGAGGTAAAATATACACAAAGGGATGAGGTAGTTCAAGCTATTCTCACCCCATTCAGTACAACGTGTTCATACATATATAGACACACATCACAAACAATAAACATATTACCGAACATTCTAAGAGATAAACATATACAATTCCTCCTTTACACAAGTAGACGTATCAGACGTACACACAAATACTTTTATGACCTAGGTATACTGTATAGACAATTTGCAAGAGACATGCAGATAATTTAACAGAAGTTTACAGTCTTGGTGCAAAATTCTTATGTCTCTCAAGAATATCATCAATCTTTCCCTTGTGACACATTCAGGCTATTTGTTCAGGAACAGTCTTTATCTCATTGTTTCTATATACATTAATCAACGGACAATCAAGAACATAATGGGCCAGGGTGTGAGACCTTAACATACGACATAGTTTACACTTCGTGTCATTATCATGAACACCTATCCCATATTCCCAGTAATATTTGTACCCAAGCCTGAGCCGCATGTACACAGAGTCACTCCAAGCATTTCTCCTTTTACCATAAGTGAAATAGATGTTTTGACTCACATACATGTAGTGTTGCATGGTTTGACTTCCCTCATACATTATACCTCTCCTCGCCATTTCTGCCTGTGCCTGAATATTTCTGATTTCGCTTCTTATTTGTCTCATTGTGAACTCGCATTCGATGTCAACTTATAAATAAATAAATATATAAATGTTTATTTAGGTAAGGTACATACATACAAGAGATTTTACAAAGTTTGTTGGATTAATAGATAGAGCTAGTGCATACAATGCCTAAAACCACTATTACGCAAAGCGTTTCGGGCACTTGTGGTTTTGATGTGGCACGTTTGCCCAAGTCATCCGTCACCTCGTTGAGCACTATTCCAACATGAGATGGAATCCACATGAATTTCACTGTGACCATTTCATCACAGATGAGCTAGTTACAAAATTCAGCTAAAATAATATTACTATTATAATATAAGGTCGCATACTAAAGACATTATACCTAAATAAATGAAAATTTTCTGTAATTGAAAATTATTACAAAAAACGGTTCACGGGGGAACTTCTATATTATAGTCATCGGCACGCAAGTGGAAGCACTTTTAATCAAAATTTGTTTTCGAACTAATGACCAAGAAAGCTTTTTATTTTGATTTTGGTACAGTATATGAAAAGTTAATATGTTTTCCTCTATTTATTGAAACATCCTCCGTCACTATGTGATGGAATGCGAAAAGATACGTGAAGTCAGAGACAATTCTATAACCAATGTTCCAACGATGTGTAAATATTTCATTCAAAATGATCTGCTACCAGAAATTTTAGCCAAACAAGCATTCTCCAAGTCACAATCGACTTGAGAATGGTCCAGGACGCACCGAAACGTCGTCGTCCCTTCACTTTCTAGTGTGTGTGGTCTGGTCAACATTTTAGCCAAAT